CCAGGGGTTAGGGAGAGCAGAGCGGGGAAGTTGGGCAATGGAGACTGAAACAGGAGCAGCCAGTTCCTGCCTCCTGCAGGATGACTATGCTTTATGAGAACTTATTTTATGACAAATACAGTTTATGAGGAACTGGAAGGGAACATTTTAAAGGTTCCCAACAAAAAGAAATGGAAATTCTAATTACCCTGTTTTGATCGTTACACAGTGTATACAGACATCGAGTTTTCTTATGTACCCCACCACTGTGTACAATTACTAGGTGTTAATTACAAAAAAAAAACAAAAAAACAAGTAAACAGCACAAACTTAAAATACCCACGGGTTAGCTATACCAGGTGCTCTAGTAACCGTTAGATAATTTTCCAATTCCCCACAGTGTATTACCCCACAACCCCTTATACTGTGTCGTCAATGTAACATTATACTGCCCGCTAAGAACATTTGTGAAAAACTCCGTCCGTGGCACGTCACCAGAGACACTTCTAAAACGAAACATTTATACACTCACACGTGCCACGTAGATGTGTGGCACTGCTTCGGGGATCTCTGTTCGTGTTTGCACAAACAGCACCACGAGAAAGCTCATTCTGCCCCATGCTTTGTCTTATTTAGCAGCATTTCCAGAAGCTCTTCATATGTGGGTGCATTTGGACCAAGCTGTCTTTCTGATTGCTTCATGGAATTTATGTGCCAGAGTAAATCTATTCACCCACTGGTGAGCATTTAGGCGGCTTCCAGGTCTTGCCAACATATCACAAAGTGCCGTGTTACTGATGTCTGTGCACGGGCTGTGTGACAATGCAGGTGGACAGTGAGAAACTGAATTGCTATTTATGGGGCCCACCTGCCCAGCAATGTAACAGGGCCTCTATCTTACACCCAAAGGATAACATTGTCAAACTTGACAATTTCCTCCGGGTGGGTTTTTAATGTATTCTTTGAATAGTTTTACATCATTAGGTTGGATTGTGTATCGTTCTTACTTATGTGCGATGTGATCTATTCTATAGAAAGGCTTTTCTGTACACTGTCTCTTCCAGTTCTCATAACCACATGATAAGGTGGGCATTTTTTGTGGGGGGCAGGGCTGGTGACAGAATGCGGGCTCTTCACACTGAAGTAGATCCCTGATCCTTTTTCTTCCTTTATTTTGTTTTGAGGCAGACGCTTGCTAAGTCTCTAAGTTCCCCAGGCCTGGCTCAGAGTGGCAGTCTTCCTGCCTCTCTGAGTTGAGAATGATACATGTTTGCCAACACACCTTGTTCAGATAAGGATTAAAAAACCTTTAAATATTACTTACTTTTTGTCTTTACTTGACAATTAGTGGTATGCACTGATAGAAGACAGTGCGACGTCCTGGTGCGTATCCGCAATGTGGAGTGACTACACCAGGTAACGAGCTCACTCTTTGCTCCGCCTGGTTGTCTTTTCATGGTGAAAACACTTCATATTTACTTTTGTAGCAATTCTGAGACACACAAGCACTGTTAGTACACAGTCATCATTGCGGGACAGGCATTTCAATCATTTTATCCAGGACGAGATCATCTATGAAACATGTAAGGCTCTGTCAAGGAGAGCGCGTGACATTTACAGGGGCATTTGCTAACATTTGTAGAGAATCCTAAATACAAACTTATGGGGCACCGTGGGCATTTTTCTTATGGAAGCTACAGATCAGAGAAAAAGAAGAAAATACGATTGTGAAACATGAACTCTACTCACATCAGCCTCTGAGAAGTTTTGAGTAAAGTCTGTGGCCTGTCAGTAGCAAGGATTTAGGTCAGTTTGGAGAACATTTTTATTTGTATTCCAGACTGTTTTGTATCTCCCTTTTTTATTATTCTTTTAATTTGTTATCTTCTATATTTATAAATCTTTGCAAGCTGCTTGCTTAAACGTTGAGCAAAGGATACTAGACCATGATCAAGATTTAACTTTATCTACAAGGATGATTCATTAAAAGGAAATTAGTCAAGGTTCTTTTGGTCACAAATGTCAGGAAAATCACTCAATTGCTGCACAAGGAACAGAAATCATAAATGCCTATGGTAGCAAGCCAGTTAGCTAGGAGTTGGGAGAATTGTGCTATGGTTGCTTACTCAGAAGATGTGGCTTGTTTTTGCCGTCTAATTTTTGAGGAATCTCATTCTGATTTCCATAGTGGTTATAGCACAGTTAGAAACGAAGGTGAGAGTTGCCCCTTTCCCTCTTCTTAGCTCTAAACCGCACCCAGCGATTGTTCCCGCTTTCATTATCCTGAGAGAGGTGAAAAGCAAAGTAACAAAGCCCAGGAGACGCCGACACCCTGGGTGACAGCACAAGGGCCATGGGTGACTCGGTGTGGCCCCTGGAGTAGAGGCGCCTGCCTTCGACTTCCGAGAGCCTGAGTTATCTTTTTCCTGTTGCTGTTTCTGCCTTGACCCACATGCAGTGCTCTTCTGTCCCTTGGCATCTTTCTTGGTCTATGTTTGGCCTTTTTGGCACGGACTGGCCCTGGGCTCAGCGTCCCCTGCCTGGCAATAAACGCAGCTGCTTCCTAGAGTGTGCGCTTGGCCATTCTTCCTTCACCACCATACACAAGAGTCTGTACTTGTATTGGCCCCCTGGACTGCGATAGACTGGTCTGTGTTCCCACGGGCAGTGTAAAAGAGTTCCTTTCCCCCAGGTTCTAGCCGGCATCACTTGTTTTTAGGGTCCTTGGTAACAGCCACTCCTAACGGGGTAAGATGGAATCTCGGGTTCACTGCTATTGGCCAAAGATGTCAGACATTTTTTCACATATGTACTGGCCATCTGGACTCCTTCTTCGGAGAAGTGTGTGTTCATTTCTGGGGCCCACCTTTTGATCGGGCCTTTTGTTGGGGTGGTCTATTTTTGTGAGCCTTTAAAGTATATATTCTGGGTATTAGTCCTCTTTATTAGCTGACATAATTTCCCCCACTCTGTAGGTTGCTGCAAATACCAAGAATGAAAATTCCATTTGAGTCAGCTGTATCTCTCCTGAGTACCCTCACAGCAACATTAAAGTCACTGGAGTACAGTGATTTATGTACACTCATGTTTCTAGCAGCATGATTCACAGTAGCTAAATTACAGAGGTAGCCCATACGCACATCAGCAAATGAGCAGATAAAGAAAATGTGGCAAATATACACAACAGAGCACTGCTCAGCCATAAAGGAGGATACAGTTGAATTGTTTGCAGGAAAGTGAATGGGTGTTGATTTTTTTTTTTTTTTGAGACAGTGTCTCGCTATGTAGTTCAGGCTGGCCTTGACCTTACTACGTAGTCCAGGATAGCCTCCAATTCCTAGTAATCCTCCTGCCTCAGCCTCCCAAGTGCTGACATTACATGCATGTGCCATCATGCCTAGCACATCTTGAGACTATCACTGCTGAACGAGATAAATCAGACATAAATGATTGAATATTGCATGTTTTCTCTTATACAAAAACCCCAAAATATGAATTAAAGAGCAAAATAAAAGGTGATAGGAAACAGGAAATAGAATTTGTGAAGGTGGGGAAGGTTCTGGGGAAGGCGGGATGATGGGTGGGGAAGGGACAGAAAAGTGAGATGGGTATGACCTCACACGTGCCAGCTCCCCAAGTGAATGTGATTAGTATGCAGTGCAAGGTACACAAACAATAAAATAATAATAAATACAAGACCTTTTTAAGACAAAATATACATCTCATCTCTTACTTTGTATATAACTGATGGTTATTCTTTCATCACATGAAGTACCTCTCTAAGCTTGACTGATGCCAGGCTAAATTATACGTCCGAAAGCCCGTGCACTTGAAGAGTAACGAGCTCTAATGTAGGAGACACGAGTGTACGTGAGTGCATCTGAGTCTCTCCGTATTTGATGGCGTCGTTGACTTACTTAGAAGGACAGCCCGAGCCGCAAGGTGACCTCCCCAGGGCGGCTGGTCCACGGAAACGCGCGCCGGGCCCCTCCAGTCCGGACTACGACCCTGTGGCCCTGTCCACGGCGGTTCTCACGGGACTCAGCCTGCTGTTGGCTGTAGAACTGGTAGAACCGCACAAAACCAGATGAACTGCGGAAACACCGGGCGCCTCTAAACGGACGCCAGCAAGCTTGTTTTCTGATTCCTGCCCAGAAACGGGAAGTCCCGGAGCCTCTGCAAAATCACAGCACGGAGCCGAACTGCCGGGCCGCTGAAGACCCTGCTGTATCCTTTGCCCAGCAACGCCGTGCAGGCTGTGGGCCGCGCGGACAGAGGAACTCGCTGCCTTTCCGCGGGCGCTGGTGCTCTCGCTGCTCTGTTTCCCGAGCCCACGGCGTGGGCAGTGCTTAGGAGAAGCGGCCGTGAGCAGCCCGCACAGGCCCGGCCGCGGCGGCGG